TTGTTCCCCGTCCCTTCCGCCCGCGGTGTTGCCCTCGCAGGCGGCTCTTCCCCCTCCAAGCGCCCGCAGCCCGGGCGGGGCCGAGGGGGCCGCCGTGTGCCGGTGGGCGCTCAGTGGCCGGCTGCCATGAAAGTCCCTTTGGGAACGTGCTCCAGCAAGAATAGGAGCTATTGTTCTCCCGGAGGGCTTCAACCTCCCCTCTGCTGTATCAAGAGCTTCAATCTCTTCTCCCAGGAGCGAGGAGTTTCTGCTGCTCAGAAGAGATGGCTCAAATCTTTCTAGTTTTTAATTGTAGCAGGTGAATGGGGAGCCCAGGATGGTTGGATGTCTCACAAGCCTTGGGCAGGGGGAATGGCAGCTCCTGGATTAGTGCAAAGTACGCTGGGCTGCATGCCCTTCATGCTAGGGTCAGGCAAGGTCCTCTCCCCGGAGCTTCGGGCTTGCCCCATCCCTTGCTTGGTATGGCCTGCAGGGGCAGCTTGGCATGGCCTGCAGGGGCAGCTCCGTTGGCATCCCTCCCGGCCACAAGCAGTTCTGAGGGTGAAAAGAAGGTTTTAGCCTTGAAACAATCAACGATGGGATTTCTAGGGTCATTTTTAGGTGGGTTTGGTAGTCACTTGCTGATACAGCCAGTGGCCCCTTGGTGTTACAGGTGGAGAAATCAAAGAGCTGCACAAGATGAGAGCCTGGAGGATGTGGTGGGCTTGCCTTGCCCTCGCATTAACTGGGCAGTGAAAAGTACCAGTATGTTCCTCCAGGCAGGGGTGAGACAGCGGAGGTGAAGTTTATGTAGGTCACTGGATAGGGAATTATGTGATTAGAAACCAGGAGGTGCTGTGGAATAGGAGTGGAAAAAGAGGTGCTGTGGCATAAGGTGTAGAATAAGAGCACTTGGCTAAAAAGGAGTCTTTGAAACCTGCTGTTGGAGGGCAGGCACGACACACCCTGTGCCAAGGAGGCACGTAGGTGAGTCTAATGCATCCCCTATAGCCAAGGTGGTGTTGACCCTTGGGTTGGGGAGGAAGGGAGTGTGTTGTACCTATTGCTACAGTTTCTGCTGCTTCAGAGCTGTCCTCCAGCATCACTAAGGCACAGGGTGGATATGTGATCCTTCATCTGGTAGGAGCTGTAGGACTGAATCTTGGAAGCTGTGCTTCCCCAGACACTCACTGCTCGTGTGCCACTGCTGTGCCCCAGGGCTGGGGGCTCTTCCTCCCACGCAGGGGACAGGCTCTTGTCTCTCCCCTAAGTAGCCATCACTTCTGGCAGGCTTTTTCTCTGGGTGAGGTTTGGATAACAAAAATGAAACAAGCTACATAACTTCCCGCTGATAGAGGTGGGAGCTGCTTGTTCGTGTCCTTGCTGCCCTGTGTGTTGGCTCAGTTCTAAGAGAAGGGATTTGAGCAGCTAGAAATCAAGCTGCAGATAGCACGGGTAGCGGCTGCCCACGGATCCTGAGCAGCCGTTGCGCTGTAGCGGCTCTGGACAGCAAACCCCATGCTGCTGTGCTTTGCTCGCTCTGCCAGCTCTGCGCGGCAGTGGTAGGGGAATTCGCTGTGAGCGGGCGTGCAGCAAAGCGGCTCACACCTCCCGCTGACACAGAGCTGATACGTAAACCTGTGCTGATACTGTGGCTGGAGCCAGAGAGGGGGTTTCCCAAGCCCTGAAGAGCTCCAGGGCTGCAAACCAGAAAAGTGCTCCTAATAAAACCTATCAGGCCAAATTCTTATCAGGCTTAATCTCATTGTCTCATCCTAACACCTAGCTCCCTCCCAGCCGTGTTTTCCTGGCTGGTTTCTACCCCAGAGCTCTCGCTGGGATAAGGGTCTTTGGCAGGCAACAGCCTGAGTGCACACGTGCTGCTGAAGGACAGCTGAGTCCTAGTATTGAATTCTCTCTTCCAGGCTGAAACGCTCCTCTGGGATCCTCTCTTGGCCGTTCCCCTCTTCCTGGGGAACGGCAATCACATTGTTCAGCCTCGTGCATCAAGGTGGCAAGTCTAATCCAGCACAGATTAGTTTCAACCTAGTTTTACCCTCTAATGCGCTGGGCTGTGGGGAAGGAATTCAACTTGCTGGAGAGCAGGTGCCTGCTTCTCCCATCCAGGGCAGGCACGAGCATCCCTCAGCCCCTTCCCAGCCGCAGCAGGGCGGCTGGCGTCGGGCACTTAAACAGCCCAGTGGGAGCTTGGCCTGTCAGTTGGAGCCACCTTTTTGGGGAGCGAGGATGGATCTGGCTTTGCTTGCAGGTAGCTGGAACTGAATTTATTGGCTTAGAAAAGTCTCTCTGCGCAAGAAAGGCTGTTGAGGGCAGGAGCGGGGGAGAGGCTGGGGCTTATTTTTAAGCAGTTCTTATTAATAGAACATGCCCCTTAAAATGGGAGCTTTAGCAAAGGGCTCTGGGAGGAACTTCAGCCACTTGGGCTGAGTCTGAGTCACTGGCCCTGGGGATTGAATTCCTCTGTGCTATTGTGAGTGTTTGCCTTATCACAGTCACAGCCCGGCTCGCATACAATGTGGAGGGTGGAATGCCTTTGAAATATGCTCTCCTGTTGCTTCCTCCGGTCTGGAGCAGAGCTGTGACACTGGTGGGCTTTCCAGTTCCCCTCCAGTTGAAATGTAAGGGGCCTGGGTCGTAGGTGTGTGCACAGTGTCACCCATCCTGCTCTTGTACCATGCTGCCAGGGGCTGTTGGACCCCTGGGCACACGTCCCTCAGCCATCCTGTATGGATGTAGCGTTCCCTTCAGTCCTTGCCATTTTTGTGCTGCTTCTTGCTCCTGGAGAACTACTGTGCTCTGCTCTCACATCCCCTGTCCTGCTGGTAGGTGCAAGCTGTCTGCTGTTCCTGCAGGGCAGGAATGAAGCTGTGACCTGGTGGCCAGGAGATGCTCTGGCCCTGTTTTGGTTCTCGGTGGTGTTTGGCAAATTCCTTCTACAGAGGCTTTTCAGTGGCGATGGCAGTAGGTAACACTACTCTGCTTTCTGGTACCTTCTGCTGCTGGCTGAGCCGAGGTCTCAAAGCTGAATTGGGCCCTTTGTCTTGGGCTGGCAAACGATACCCCTGGGTAGAAATAACTGAGATAAACGCAATTGAGTTGGCAAAGGAGAGCGAAACAAGGAACTGGGAACATTGCTTTTCACCGCAGCTCTCAATTTGAGTTGGTGTCCATGGTGATAAGGGAAGTCTGTGTCACGCTGGTTTAGTGGGCATGGTCTCTGGTGTCCCATCTGGAGTTTGTGAGATGGGAGGAGGGGATGACAGTCACTTCTGTCCTAGTGGGCTTCCTACAAAACCTTAGTTCAGCTGCACAGCAAAGACTCGCCAAAGTGGTGGTTAACTGGCAGTGAAGGTTTGAGGCATTTGGACTCCCTGGGCAGGTCCAGGCTCCTCTGTCCCAGCGAGGAAGGAGGGAGCGACTCCAGGCGTGTGGGCCGGAGGGGCCCGGAGCACGTGCTGCAGGGTTAGGGTGGCAGGCAGCGATCAAGCGTGAAAGGCTCGGGGCTGGCTGTGGCAGCAGGGACCAGGCATCGGCTTGGGGCTGCAGTGCTTCTGGAGCTGGCCCAGCAGCCAGACTGGCACAGCTCATCGCACCTGGGGACAGCTGGTTTTAATCTTCCTTCTGGAAGAAAGGAGAACATGCTCTGGAGGGCATTTGGGTTATTGCTGGCTGTGTGGACCTCGTGCAGCCCTGATGCCTTAGTGCCTGCAGATGGGGCTTCTTTGGGGGTGGTGGGTGTCTCAAAAATCAGAAATGATGCTGCCCCAGTACTACCAGTGCCCGAGATCCTAGTCTCTTGGGGACCCACTCCTGCCTTCCTTGTGAGCATGGCTAACAGTGGTGAGGAACACGTGCCCAGAGTAGGGAACAGCCTCAGCCCTCTATCCACTCTAACCCCTGGAGGGGTTTTATCCTGGACAGGCCATGCATAAGCGGTGCAGATGTTAATGATTTCTGCACTGAAGAATGTGGTGTTGTTGCTGAACACAGATTGAGTCATTAAGCTGTGCTGGGCTCGCTGGAGCTAGGCGGTGTGGGAGGGTAGAGGCCGGAGCAAGACCCTGCTGCTCACAGCTGCGGGGGGGTGTTGCTGGCAGGGCATAGCAGTAGAGCTGGCTGTGCAAGTCGTGGTCTGTTCTTTTGGATACCTGAAGGTTTTTGAGGTGGAGCTAGGGACAAGTGACCAGAACTGACCCAGGATTTCCTCTCCAGCCTGAGCAGGGTAGGGCAAAAAAATGGATAGGCAGTTTGAGAGAATGAGAGCCTGTTCCGTACCCCAAAATATCTGTCCTCTGTTGGGTGCGTGATGTTCTGCAAATTTTCACTGTTCTTTTTGCTAGCCCTCAGAGTTACCCGAGAGTTTGAAATCTGAGATCAGAATGCTTTTTGCAAGGAATAGGAGCCCTTGCTGGGAATAGGTGCGCGATCCATGTGCTGTGCACGCTTAAGCAGAGATGAGGGGGGCTGAAACCTTGGGTGAGCAAGAAGAGGGGGCTTCATGCAGCTATTCCAAAGGCACATGGGGTCCAGTCATCCCTCAAGCTGTTGGGAAATCTGAGACACCAGAAGCATTCCCTTTGCAGTGGAATGTTAATGACAAGGTGTGGAGGGATTTAACCATTTTCAAGCCTTCTGGCACTGTTGCTCAGATGTGGCTCTCCGGGAATTGCGTAGGTCTTCGGGGTAATGCTGAATTCATACGTGCCCTCTAGGGTGTTTTCCTTTATATCTTTAACCTTGGGAATATTCTTTTTTCTCTGTTTTAGGAATTTCTCTGTGACCCAAAGTTCAGTGATGAAGAAGATCTGGAAGAGAAGTTGGCAGTGTTCAAAGGTGAGAACTGGAGGGTTTCTGTGTCCTGTTTCAGCCTATTTGCTCTGAATAGATTATTTTCCTCAGCACTTGGATCTTACCAGCCTGAGATTCTCTGCACATACAAGTGACTGAGCTGGGATGAATGCCTCCCCCTTGCTTGTGGGACTCAGTGAAACTCCCCAGAGAGGTGGTTTTCCCATGTGAGCCTTTGTGCTTCCCCCACTTGCAGGGCAGGGACATGTCACCCTGCCTGGCGGCTGCTATTACTGCAAAACCTGCTGCGTGGGCAAAACCCCGGGGAGCAGCAAAGGAGGAAGGTTTCTGTCTAGATACCTAGACAAGCTAGCTGGTATAATGGATGATGCAGTCGCTGAACTCTTTTTTTTTTTTCAGTGAGTAGAAGCACCTCTTCCCACAAAGCAGAGGTCTCAGCTGCTTCCTGACGGAGTTTCTCTCCCCAAAAGTTTTTTCCTGAGCTGCTCAGTACCAGAAGCAACAGCATTTGTCTCTAGTCCTGGCCAAAGCCTGTCTAACTCCAGAGGGTTAGCAGATCCTCTGGGGGCTTAGGTTTGGGCCATTTGCTGGGATGGGGGATAGAGAAGAAGCCTGGGGCCCTCTGGAGCTTGTCCCCAAAGTGGTTACAGGGACAAGATTTGGCAGGGCATCCACTTTCTTTCCAAGCAGTGGCTGAAGGCAGTTGAGAAAACATGCCTTTTGTGTGACAGTGCCCTCAAGGTTTGTCCTCAGCCTGGCTCTAACCATGTAAAGCTTGACCTTGCCTCCACTTCAGGCATTGTCTGCTATTTCCCTTTGAATTTTGGCTTTGCAATCCAGTATGGAAGAATCTGGCTAGGTTTTTGTGATCCTTTACCCTGCTGGGGACAGAGGAGCCTCCTATGCTCGCTGTTCTTTTTCTGTTGCCTTTTGTATGGCCTTGGCTTTTGGCTGCAGCCCCGCATTATTTTTCCCATCACAATTGGGGCTCTTCAAACATTGCAACTGTAGGTCACAGGCGCAGAATTCCCTGTAACGAGAGCCCTTGGCATGTCCTCCTGCTGCCTCGTGAGTTTGCCTCCGTGGCCTGTCCCACTCTCCCAACGCCTCCTCCGGCTCCTCCAACAATCGGCTCATTGTGTGATGATGGGGAGAGTGTTTCTTCTCTGCCGTCCTTCCCGCTGCCCTCCCCAGTCGAGCCTGGGGAGCCCCCAGTGCTTGTGTAAATGCGTTTGTGAGGGGAGGGGCCATGCATGGTTTTGACCCACCAAATCCCTGCAGCTGGGATGGGAGGGAAAGATGAATGTGCGAGCCGAGGCTCAGAGCACGGTGATGTAAAGCTGCCTCTGTGCTCTGTGCATTTGGCTAAGTGTCAGCTGAGAAGAAAAGAAAACATGTGCTGGGCACGGACACGGCAGAGCAGGGTTTGTGTCCCTGAGCACATGCTGGGGTGCCTGACCCCTGCCCAGGGAGGCGGCAGTTCATTTGCACAAGGTCATTACGGTGGAGCAGAGTGTGGGGAGAGCCAGTTCCACATCAAGCATCGCTTTGGCCCCTAAGCAGATGTGTGACAGCCCCAATTTCATCTAGGATTGGTTGCTTAATGCTTGAAGGGAGACATTTATTCCTGCCTGAAGCATGAACAGCTTCAGCTGGTACCTGGTACTCCTGTAGGTCTGTCCTGGTCAGCTTGTGGCAGTAGTAATCCACCAGCTGAGACCCGGGTGAAGATGTGCCAAGCCATTCCTCTGCCTCCTGCCTGTAGCTGCCCATCAGCCCAGTTAATCCAGCACTGTCCTTCAGAAGCACAGGTCCTGGGAAGGCTCCGGTGTGTGGAATATCCACTCTTCCCTTTGGCTCCTTAAATTAGCCTGCCTTCTCTGTTCACGCTCATCTGCTTGCTCGTGTCCCTGGAGCAGAGGCAAAAGGTCTTTTCCCTTGGGGGAAAGGAGCAGCCTGGGAGCTCTCACTTCATTTGAGTCCTCTGAAGCTGTTCTGGGGAGTGAGTGCTAACTGCAGGGCAAGTGGAGATTTCTCCAGCTCAGCGTGGATGGATGGTGGCAGCAGGCATCTTGCTCTTCTCATTTAGCAGAACTGAGATGATGGGGGCCCCCTGCGGCACTAGGAGCTGTATGGTCTGTAAGACAGACAAATCCTTGCCTGAAGAGCTTAAAGTCTAAATGGGGAACAGCTAGCAAGGGGGGGGGTGGGGTGGGGTAGGAAGCACAGGTGTGCCATTCCAAAGGTCAGACATAGCACAGGACTGAAATCTTGATTTTCTGACTCAAATCAGTGCTCTGTCTGTTACAGCATGCCAGCTTTTGTTCTGCAAAGCTAACCAGACCTTCTTGAGCAGGCTCTGCCTTTCTCTGAGGATGCTGGAGTTGCCCAATTCAGCAATGTTTGACAGCAGGCTGGAAGGGCAAACAGCCTGCTCTGGCATGACTGCTCCTAGGCACGTTCTCAGCTTTGCCCTCTTGGTGTGGTCCTTGAGCATCTCTGCTGGCAGGTGCTGTTCTGGGAGCACAGCACAGCGTTGGGAGAACTGTAGAGTCTGTCCCTTGCTATTGCAGGCAACTACGTCATTTAATCCCCCTCTTAATCTGATCAAGCTTCATTTTGGGAGTGCTCAGGGTTTTGTTTTCCTTGCTACTCCTTCTGGGAGGCTGTTCCAGAGCTTTGTTTTTCTGGCTGGAAACCATTTAACGCTATTCATGGCTAGCTGATACCTTGTTCTCATGCCAGTGTTTTCCTTCAGCTTAAATGAAAAGCAGCCACAATTACAGAGCACTTAACTCTAGAGCCCTGGAACTGAGATAAGGGTGCTAAAGCCAGGTCTTGAGATGGTCTCCCTCTCTGAACTGTTTGCATTCAGCAGTATTTCAATCTTATCCCCAAATCTTTTATTTCATTGCTCTAAGCAGGTGGTGCTCCAAAGCCCTGCACGCTCCCTGCTGTAGTATCCTGCTAACTTGCTTCTGTGTCTCTTCCAGAGAAGTACATGGAGTTTGACCTGAACAACCAAGGCGAGATTGGTGAGTGGCTCTGAGGGATGCTGGTGCTGGGCTGGAAGAGCAACAGCCTGCTGAGGTGGTGTCTGCTGCTATATCTGCTGCTTCCCTCTGCACTTGGGTTGCTGAGGAAGAAAACCTGTGGGCTTTTCCTGTGTCCAGCTTTGCTTAGATCTTGATTGCCAGCCAGGGGCTTCCTTGGCTCTCCAGTCCCTGCCTCTCAGCTTCCTCAGTCTCTCCTCCCCTGCTTCAAGATTTAAGTTCTTCTCAGTCCTGTTCTTCTCCTGAGTCTCTGCTTAGCTCCTCCACTTCTTTCTGCTCTAAATACGTTTTTTCTTCTCCCTGTTTCTCCACCGAGGCCTTCTTCTCAATCCTTGGCATTTCCAGAAGCTGGGAAGCTGCAGGGCTCGGACAATCTTGCATTTTGCCTGGCTTGAGGCAGAAGCTGTATAAAACCATGAGCACTTCTAGTGCAGAGAAGCTCTTTGCTTTGCTGGGAGGGGAGTGGAGGGAAGTAGGGGACTTGGGTGTGAATCTGGCTCAGCTGAGCGGCCCCGGTTTGGGCCCAGAAAGCACCAGTTATGTAAAGATCCAGCCTCCTGCAGGCCTGGAGCTGACACTGAAGTGTAATCACTCGCATGCTGCGCCCTTCCAGGAGGCTGCTGCCTCGCTCCCCTCCTCCACCGGTCCTTGAGCTGAAGTAAAGGCTGTGGGGAGCTGGAGGAGGCCTGACTCAGGGCTGCGCTGCCGTTTCCGGGAGGGAAGGGGCCGCAGGTCTCAGCGGGCGGCAGAGCAATGGAAGGAAATGGCCTGTGGCGATGGGCAGGGGCACCCGCTCCCCACAGCCTGTTTGTCTCCGGCTTTAACCCCAGCGTTGCTTCTCTCCTCCTCAAGCTTGTGATTCTTGGCACCACGCTCTGAGCTAGAGAGCTGTGTCCCCACGTGCCTCTGGAGCACTTGAAGAGTTGTCCCTCTTCTCCCTTTTATCTTGAGCTGCGCAAATGGGAAGTGATGCTCTGTACTGGGCAGTTCAGCAGTAAGCTGTACTGGAAGGCTTCTCATGGCTTCAGCAACAGCTTAGTGCTGTCAGCCTCGGAGCCTGCAGGTGAGGTAGTCTGAGGTGGGAACTCATGCTGGTATCCCTGGGGTTGGTCTGTGCTCAGTGTGGTCACCTCTTGACAGCACCGATTGCCTTGCTTTTGCAGATCTGATGTCTGTCAAAAGGATGATGGAGAAGATGGGGGCTCCAAAGACCCACCTAGAACTGAAGAAGATGATCTCTGAGGTGACTGGAGGGGTTAGCGAGACCATCTCGTACCAGGACTTTGTCAACGTGATGCTTGGGAAACGCTCTGCTGTGCTTAAACTGTGAGTGTCCCTGGGAGGGAGTTGGGGAGATGCAGGACCTGAGCCGGCGTGTTGGGGGAGCCGGGGAGCAGGAGCTGTTCTGCCTGGTGGAGGTGGAGCTGTGCATGGTTGGTGTTCGTGGAGGGGAGACGAGGACCCTTGCGAAGGGGGAGTTTGCAAAGAGACATGAGAGGGTGTATAAGTCCACGTCTATGCTGAGCAGTGGTGAGCGCTTACAGCGGAGCTGCCTGCTGCGTGTTAGCACAGGCTTCCTCCCACGTGCTCCGTGCAGAATGATTCTTCCCCTTTCCCAAGGGTGTGCAGGCACTCAGCACTGTGGCACTTCTTCCCGTCTCTTCCCTGTGGCTCCTGCTGGCTCTGGGGACACGGGCTTCCCCTGTGAATGGTGGGAGGACTTGAGCGGTGAATGATGGTCCTGCCAACACCAGTTGGCTGGCTCCTATTTCCTGCAGGATGCTCCCTCACTGGCTGATTTTGGAGAGATGGGCAGTAGACGGAGACGGGACACATGCTTGAAACAGCTGGCTTGTGCTGGGAGAGGTTTTCTGCGGTACAGGCTGCCAGCACTAGCCTCCCACGGCCCCCTCTGCCCTCTCGACAGGGCTCCGAAAGTCCTGCTTATAACAAATGGCTTCCGAACACTTGCTTGGCTCCATCTCCACGCCATTGAAGCCTGGCTTTTCCTTTCACAGCCACAGAGGCTGGCCCTGCTTTTGTGTCTGTAACTACCATGAATAGGAGCTGCCCCTCTCCATCCCCCTTACCCCTTTCTGAAGGCAGCTTTAGAAACACGGCCAGCTTTCAGGGCAGGTTGGGAGGAAGGATCTTGCTCCCACGTCTCACGTGGTCCCTCTAAGCTAGTATGTGCTTGCTGGCGATGAGTCTCTCCTCTCCGCACTGAATGCCCTGTGTCTGTGTGTTGGGATGCTCCTCTTCCAAGCACACATGGACTTCTGACACCCCTGTTCCACCTTTCTTTCTCTGCAGAAGCAGGCTGAGTCTGCAGCAGGTCCCATATCTTCCATCCTTCTCCCAACTGCAACAGCTTTCACAGACGAGTCCTCTCTTGCTAACAGACGCCCCATTGTCTGTTGGACTCTTTAGAGCAGGAGCAGAAATGTAAAACTCATCCCAAGAGCAGTGCAGCCCTTTGATCCCGCGGGCAGCTGGCATTCCCAGCGTAGCTGCAGTCCTCAGGGAGGAAGACAGTGCTGGTGGTTGCAAAATGCTTGGGATTCTTCTAGCCAGTGCCTTGCCCTCTTTCCTGGCTGTAATTGCTGTTGCTTGCTTGGTGTTGGCTTTTGAATGTTCTGCTGTGTGGTTATGTACAAGGTGGGCCAGGGACAGTATTTGCTTTTATGCATCAGGAGCATTTGGCATGCAGTGTGTGCTCAGGGGATTTCGGAAGTGGCTGTCTAAATAAAATGTGCTAATCCTCCAGGCTCTGAGAGGAAAACCAGCAGAGACTTTGGGAACCCACTCCTGGAAGCTGCTGGAAAAGCAAAGCTGCCTGCCAGGCTGGCAGTACTGCCCTCTATTGTCTTTCCCTCCTCTGTTAATTATTGAATGCCCTTTGCATAGAAGGCAGATGCTATTTTTCAGCAGATAAGATAATCCCACCCCCAATGATGGGTAAAGATGCACCTCCTTTTTTCATTGGTATTATCTGTTGTTTTGCAGGGTCATGATGTTTGAAGGAAAAGCCAATGAAAGCAACCCAAAACCTTCTGGTCCGCCTCCAGAGAGAGACATAGCCAGCCTCCCTTGAAGAGGACAGGCTGAAAAATTGGCACTGTTTGCTTTGCTGGTCTGTAACAGAGGTTACCTGTGCTTTGTTACTCTTTACTGTGGACAGTTCTAGTTTTCAACTAACCTGCCTTAGAGGAACAGCAAGGGAAGCTGAAGACCCCCAGCTCACGTCTTTCTGCTGCATCCCTTAGCCAACTTGATTTGTTAGACAGAAGTTGTAGCACCAAGTGTAATGTGAGACCAAAAAAAAATAATCCTGTGATTTTACTCTTTCCTCTGCCCTTCCTGCATTTCTCAGACGAGGAGCTACTTTGCTCCCAGCGTATGGATTCAGAGCTGTACTTTGTCATGACAGATTCCTAAAGGGCCTTGTTGCCAGATATTGAGCGCTTCTCTGGCAAAGCCCCTGACAGCAGCTTCATGGGTGCAAAGAAATAAGTGCCTTCTCTGCTCCATCCTAAGCTTCCTGACTTTGGACTAGTTCTTCCCCTCCTGACCTCACCAAAACACAACTCAGGCTCCCTCCTCTGTTGCCTAGTCGCATGCTAGGTGAATGTGGGAAGATGCATGGACACAGAGGTCTGCCTGCAGGACCTTTAAGCTTGGAGGTGGGCATGGCTGACAGCAGGGACAGCTTCTGTCCGCTCCGTGGGTTCATCCTGCAGTCAGATCTCGGTGGGTCCAACACCAGCCACTGCAAGTGAGGATGATTAAAGCTACCTTAGGGGCCCCTTCCTGACAAATCTCTACTTGGATCCGATCAGGAGTATAACCTCTGAACCTGCTCGTCTGTCCTGTCCATCGAGTGTAGAAACAAGCTTGCTGTTATGCCTTTGCAGCCGCTCAGGAAGGCCTAGGGGAAATTGAACCTTCAAGTGAAAGGAAGCTGGGTGACTAAACTGTGAGCCCTGCCAGACAGTTGCGGATGAGGATCTGTCCTCATGCAGCTGCTCTGTCCCTCTGATTTTGCAGACCTCCCTGTATGTCTTTCAGCTTGGTCCCCTGGGGCTATCGGGTGCGTTTCCCTGATGGATAAGCCCTCAAGTCTGCAAAATAAGAATGGCTGTAAGTGTGGAGTTGAGCTGGGATCCAGATGTAGCTGGGACTGTGCTATCCACACTCTGGTTACTGTGGCGATTCTTGCTCTAGACAATTTCTGCCTTTCCCTACTCTTTTCTTAAATGTTCTTGGCAGCTTTTAACTTTTTTTAAATCATGGTTTAATACATAAATTTTTTAAAGGAAATACGGATTATTAACTCCACTAGGCTGATTGTTCCTGCCAAAGGCTGTACTTTTAATTTAAATAAACATTCTCACTACTGTTTGCATGAAAACCAAAACTGTAATGGAAAGACAAAATTACCCTACTCTTTTCTTAAATGTTCTTGGCAGCTTTTAACTTTTTTTAAATCATGGTTTAATACATAAATTTTTTAAAGGAAATACGGATTATTAACTCCACTAGGCTGATTGTTCCTGCCAAAGGCTGTACTTTTAATTTAAATAAACATTCTCACTACTGTTTGCATGAAAACCAAAACTGTAATGGAAAGACAAAATTACGAGCAAAAGCAGCACCGGTCTACTTTAAGGACTGAAAATAAATTTTCTGAAGCTATACTGTGTGTCAGTGCATTTAGTTTAGCTCCTCTGAAGTTTGGTTCATACGAGTGGTTGCAGATTAAGTGAGCTGGTTTCCAAGTCTGTTAATATAAACCCTTAAATAGATCCTAGAGATAGGTTTGGACTGTCTTGATCTGATCTTTATCTGTAATAACTGACGGAATGCCATGGAGTTTGTGTTATGAAATGCAGAGGCCACCTCCTGAAAGCTGTCTTTTTTTTTTTTTTTTTGACTTACTGAAGAAAGCAGGTGGCGGTGCTGGTTTTAAGGAGTAACTTGTTTATCAAGAGCAGACACTTGTAATCCTTCTCTTGAAAGACTATTTTTTTTTTCTCGTCCTCTCTGCTCTTGAAGCAATTGCCTGAGGCCCTTGTCTGATGTGAGTTATCAACATGGAGACCAGGCTTCCTGGGGGAATGACTGGGTACACTTTTTCCATGTGTTCCTCAAAAGGACAGAATTGCCCTTAGATCAAAGCCCTGTGTCTGCTTTCTGCTGCCTGGGGAATGCACCTGCTTTTCTGGGCTATGTGTGTTAAAGCTGTTGTTCGGTTAGAAAATAAAGGGAGCGTATTACACGAGGGAAATTTGGATGTGGTTTGCCACTATTCAGGTCACTGCCCAAAGCCATCACTGCTTTTGTCTCTGTGGAAATCCTTGTCCTTCTGGTCCTGGAAGAGAAGCACAACCTGCTAGAGCTGGAAGCAGCCCTTCTCAACATGTCCTTGTCCCCACAGGGCTAAGTGCTAAGGTGATGCACCCCCTGTGCTGACACTCTGAGTGGGGGCTGAACTCCCTAAACTTGAGGCAGGAGGGAGCAAGGAAAGAAACCCAGGTCCTGCTGTGAGTGAAAAAACACATGCTGCTTTTGTGGGGCCCTGGAGCACAATAAGGCTGTCCCTGCTCACAGAGCTGCCCTCTTTCCAGTTCAGCTGCATGTAACTGGAGGTGTACAGGGACAGACCCCGAGCACTGGACCGTGTGCTCCCGCTGCAGTCCACGCAAAGGGAGTGGGATTTGCTTAGAGCTGCAGCGACATCGGACCTCTGCTGTGGAAAAAGCATCGAAGTCCCTTACCGAGGGTTGATGGTCAGGGTGGAGCAGCTGGGAGAGCTGGCTTGCTGGCAGCCACGGCCCATCCCCAGTGGGGTCATGTCCCCTCAGGGATCCGGGGGCAGCCCGGTCGGGGTGGATCTCCTCAGGGCGGACAAGAACCGGCGGGTGCGGCCTGCAGCACCCACCACGAC